ATATCTTTATTAATATATATCTAAAAATGTATTCTTCAAAACACCACTTAGTGCACAGTCTAGGGTATCCAGTGTTGTACGTATACAATGTCCAGACTTTTGAACAAATCCAGCTTTTACAATTTCATTGGCTTTCGCTGTGTCAGATCAGGAATGAATTTGGCCTCTGTGCTTACAGATGAAGAGAATGCACTGAAAACCTGGCTTAATTGAGCTACATCAACAGCACAGGACAAACAAAGGCAGAACTACTTTATACAGAAATTATACTGTCAGAAGTAAACACAGGCCAGTAAATAAACATTTGTTTTTTAAAAGGGAAAAATATACTGAGAAAATGAATCTTTAAAGAGAAGGAAGACAGCTGGGAAAGTATGCCAATATCATAAGAACTCAGTCCTAAAGCAGCCATTCTCAAAGTAAATAAAAGAAGGTGTAGTCTGAAATTAAACCTCTGGATTTTCTAAATTTGAGCTTTCTACTTCAAAAGTTATCATGTAGAATAAGTCTTTTTTTTCTTCCAAGTCTTCTTCAAATCAATAGTATTGCAGCATGTGGTATATGACTAGTATTTAAATACAACAACTAAGTACTTTAAGCAGTAAGCCAAATAAAGCTCTATTAATAGACACTCTCCCCCTTCTTACACTACTTATTTTAAATAGAGCACATGTTTCTAAAGGGGCTTGACACCATATGTCTGTAGACTGATTTTTTCCTGCCTTATTCATGGAATAAGAGTATCACTTCACAAGGCAGAGAGAAGATTTCTGAGGTCATTAACATCTCTAAATAGTGAAAGGTTCAAAATCATTACACAAAATATCAAAAGAAAACCTGAGATTTCTCTGTGGGAAAACTTCAATGTTGTATAAAGTGCAAGAAAATTGTGTAAGACCGAACTTTGCAAAGAAAGCTACATAATGCTGTCTCTTCACACTTGCTATTTTATTTCTGTACTGAAACAACCAGACTTTCAGAGGTACAGGGTACATTTCACTATCAATGAGTGAACTGGAGTTTCGACAGACATAGACACCATCTAACAGTACTTTTGAGGCTAAGTAGGCGCCCAAGTTTTTTTTCACGTACTTGCCCATATTACCAAACTATTAAGTCAAACAGGACGTATAATTATAAAGAGATTTCTTCAAAAGAATTCTATTGAAAGATATATAGAAAAAACATCTTCAGAAGAAGATATCTCCAAGCTTGGAAATTCAATTAGGTAGGACTGAATGACACGAATTGCTATCAGTATTGATTAATACAGTTACTTCCTACTTCTAAACACACTAAGTTGTCCTTTTACATTGCTATGTTCCAGAGGACTAAAAAATAAAAGGCTTAAAAAGTAGTTTAACATTGCCAGGAAGCAGCTTTTATAGCCTTAAAAGCCTGATCTAAAGGACTACATAGTTTGATCAAAGCTACTTAGTTGTTACCTATGAAAAGGTTTGGATCAGGCTCTCCATGGTACATTTTAGGTGACTGAAACGCTCTTGCCAAAGCATTTTAGATAAATAATTATAGCTATTGCCATTGACGAGTGAAAATTAATATTCCTGGTAGCAAAGTTGTCATTGTTTCTTATTTCTTCTTATTTTTCATCTGGTTATACAGTTTGCATTTATTAAATAATTATTCAAGTAAAATTGCAGTGATTTTTCTCAAAATAGTCTGTTGTCAAACTGCTAAAATTAGGCCAGAAAAAAAAAATAAATCACAAAAGGTAAAAGTATACCCTAAGGAGAAAACCTAGACTTCTACAGCAATAGGCTTTCCTTTTCTTCTTTAAAAATTAACTTAAAATCATCATTCTTCATGCTTACTTCTCATCTTTTGGGAATATTCCTTAAAATCTGCAGAGCCTCAGGAAAATTTTACAGCAAAATCCAAACCAGTTGTTATTAGGCAAAACTTTCGACACTCTAATTCTCTCCATATACCAGAGGCAAAAAAAAAAAAAAATTGTAAAAATACTATCAAGACTAATAATAAAGGTAGGGTAGGGAAGGGAGCAGGAAGGGAAGTAGAAGAGCAGGAAACCTGGTAGATGCTTTGCCTGAAACCAGAAATTTTGCTGTAGCACTGCTACACTTTCCTGCAGGCAGTGAATATCTTTTGTGTTTGTTTGGGATTTTTTCAGAGTTTTCAGCATTCTTCAGTGGAACTCAGCCTGCTGGAAAAAAAACTTTTCTTGAAAATTTGACCTGTAGGTCAAAGTTAAAGCCTTCTGGACTAGACCTTTCATTACAGAACTCTCAACACTCCCTGTCTCGCAGCTGATGTACTGAAGCCAGGACAAGACATGTTGCTCTCACCTGTGTTTCTGACCATTGAAAGCCTGAAGCCAGAATGTAGGTAAGAAGGAATTCTCTATATTTCCCACAGGAGCAAAAGGAGATAGGTACCACTAGCAAACTTATTTTACAGGTTTCCTTCCTGCTAGCTAACCTCTGAATGATATCTCTTTACAGAAATTTTCTCTTTCGGTGGCATTTTGTTTTGGAAGCGATGCATACTTATTTATTAATGAAGAAAAGAACAGTTCCAGGAACATTTTTATATCTAGAAACAAGCTAATTACAATTGCATGTACCATTTTGTAGAATACAAATGGCAAACACTTACCTCCTTCTTGGTAAATTCTGGTGGATGGTCATTTTTGTCATCAATAAGAATAGTGGCAGTTGCAGTGCCAGTTAGTCCCACATCGAGACCACCCATATCCTTAGCTTCTATAACTAGCTCGTATTTGGGGGATTCCATAGTCTGAAAAATTAATAGAAAAGGAAAGGTTAAAAAAATTTCACCACAGACTGCACACTACTTTTAATTCGTATTAAAATAATAAAAAACCCTTAAAAACTTAATTTGCTCTGATAAAACAAAGAATAAACCCATTTTTTTACCAAAACAGAAGCACAGCTTTCTATGAGCTTCAGCTGCTACAATAGAAATCTTATTTGGAATACAGTATGAAGGAATACACACAAATATTGGTTAATAGTGCATAATGTATCCTGGTTTTTAAGGAGATGAGAAAAGAGGAAATAAATTAAAATAAACCTGCTCTTTAAGAGTAAGCTCTCACTTCAGTGCACCAATATTTGGTTGCTTCATCAGTATTACGACAGTTACATAATTAAATACTAATGTCACAATCTACATATAAATTCACTTTATTAAATCACATTCACTCTGTGTAATAGCATTTAGAATGGTAATCTAAGTTTGCTTCACTGTAAGAAACAAGAAAACAGTTTCTAAAATGGGCAACAACTGCCAGTTCACAGCAAATCCAATGTGTACAGTAAAACTAATGAATTACATCTTTAGTATCTGAATTCTATATCATGGTTACTTATCTGACTGCCCACCTATTGTAGCTCCAGACAGCAAAGGTCAATAGTAAAAGCCATCCTTAATCCCCCTCCCCTGAAAGATAGTGAGAACTTTGGAAAAAAAACAACCAAAAAACGTGGCCACTGTTCTCAATGGGAATGTGATAGCATTTCAGGTTCACCCTCTCGCATCAGGCACGAAAGCACATCTGTTTGCAAGCTGGACAATGGGGCAGTAACACGTCACAGAATCACAGAATCATTACGGTTGGAAAGGACCTCCAGGGTCATCAAGTCCAACCTCTTTCCCAGTCAGCATCAGAAAGTGCTCCCATGGAACTCATAGAGAATTTTGACATGTATTTCAGTGGAGACTAGGCTGGGCACCTAATACAAAATGAATATTTTCCCCATTTGTATGGCTACTTCATATGGAACCATCTGCCCAAAGACTGTATGTGCTGCATCATCAATGGAGGACACAGATGGGAAAGTGCTGCAGTCACCTTTAATGCTATAGGGTACGAATATCACGTGTGCTCAGGAATGTTGTTGTTTTTTTCAAATCTCCTTTGAAAAATAAATCTGGATCTCAGGGGCAAAGTGACATAATGATGCCTGAAAAAGTGGCTTGGGTACCACTGCTAGAAAGCTTTCTTAACTCCAGACCACCTCTATCAGCCAACTGTGTTTACAAGAACCAAGGCTCTAACATCGCTCATCCCACCTTTTTTTCAGAAAATTAATGTGCAGGGAGACAACTGGTGTGAAATTCTGAACAGCAACAGAGTGACCTCTGTCTACTGCCCATACACTGTTGAAGCAGAATCAGTAGGACTATAGCAGAGAACACAAAACTATACAATGATTTGGGTTGGAAGGGACCTCTAAGAGTGATTTATTCCAAGCCCCGTGCAATGAGTATGGACATCTGTAACCAGATAAAGTTGCTCAGAGCCCCATCCAACCTGGCCTTGGATGTTCCCAGGGCTGGAACATCTGTTACCTCTCTGGGCAATCTGTGCCAGTATCTCACCACCCTCATTGTAAAAAATTTCTTCCTTATATCTAGTCTAAATCTACTCTCTTTTAGTTTAAAAGATTAACTCTCATTCTATTGCAACAGGCCCTGCTAAAAAGATTGTCCTCATCTTTTCTATAGGCCCCCTTTAAGTACTGGAAGGCTGCTGTAAGGTCTCCCTGAAGCCTTCTACTCTTCAGGCTTGGAATCCCAAGTCTCTCAGCTTGTCCTCATAGAAGAGATATTCCATCCCTCTGATCTTTTTTATGGCCCTTCTATGGACCTGTTTGCACAGCTCCATGCCTTTCCTGTACTGGGGACTCCAGAACTGGGCACAGTTTACTTTTGGGGAGTCTCACAAAAGCAGAGTAGAGGGGCAGAATCACCTCCCTCGACCTGCTGGCCACACTTCTTGTGATGCAGCTGAGCACACAGTTGGCCTTCTGGGCTGTGAGCACACGTGGCTGGCTCGTGTCCCACTTTTCATTCACCAGTAACCCCAAATCCTTCTCTGCAGGGCTTCTCGTAATTCACTCATCCCCCAAGTCTGTATCTTGCCATTTAAAATTTTAAAAGACTTATTTCTCATCTCCAGCTTAGCAAAGCAACCTCACAGGTCACATAATCTTCACTGTAGCCAAATGACTTGAAAGCTTTCACTAAATAGTGTGTTTTGCATTACGCGTTTTCCTGGGTACATCACACCACCTTTCCTGGAGCGTGTGTAAGAAGAAGATTGAAATCTCTTAGCATTTATGTCTTGAAGCATTTTTAGGCCATGAGAAAAGCAACAATATGAGTTACCCAGCAAATCACGTATTACGAAACAATATATTTGCATGCAAAATCAATGAGTTGAGCCAGAAGACACATTTAGCTTTAAAAACATACGAACTACTAGAAAATCAGATGGCACTGCAACACAGGGGATCCTAAGAAATGTATTTCCTTAAGTCTTACAACATTATGCCATGAAATTCATCTCAGAAGACAGCAAATCCAGAAGAGGATTTTGATTTATAATATCATAAAAATATACACAAAGAAATATTACTGACATATTTCCAACATAAATTCAGGTTAGAGTGGAACAAAGTTTATGGTTTTGTAAAATGCATTCAATGTCTTAAAACCTGAAAATCTTCTTGTGTTACAAAGATGCAACTTGTGTTCCCTAGATGCAACTGCTTCATTATTTTGATTAGGAAATTGTTATTGTATGGAAAACTGGCAAAGTCATTTATCACTTTATGTTTATAAGCCTCTCTGCTCAGAAAGAGGCCCATTTTTACTACAAATTGGCCTTTTTTCCTTTGAAAACTGTCCCATTTTCCATTGAAAGCTAGCCCATTTATGCTAGAAATTGTCTACTGCAGCAGAAATTTGTGACAGGAGTCCAATGTTTAAGCTCGCAACGGAATGCAAAAAACATTGAATTTTGAGTAGTATTTCATACCATTATGAATACTTCACACTTTCCTGCTACACAGCACTTTCTACATCTAGTTCTGTCACCAAATATTTGCTTTGTTAGTGAAAGCAACTCCTAACAGATCCAAACCCGAGAGCAGAGCCATGTTCCCATCAGACGCTCTCTTTACAATAGCAGATTGCATTTAAATGACTTTTTAGCATTTCTCATACTTCTAGCCCATTTAATTCAGGCACTAGGAGCAATTATTTGGCTCTGTGTGATTTATCACACCGCTGGTAAATTCCAGGACACAGAGTGGAGATCTGCGGACAGAGCATGGGCCCCTGTGCTCTTACCAACGCCCCCAGCTCCTCAGGTGATGACACTGTGGAGGGCCAGGGTCTGTGCTGGGGGCATCCGCTGGGGTGGGGGTTGCAGTACGAGCTGTTGTGGCACCTCCTCATCTCTTCCCTCTTCACAGGGCTCAGGCTTTTCACCCCAGCACAGTCTCTCCCTGCACTTGCTCCCATCTTGTGAGGAACGAGTGCTCCTGGAGGGGGGCAGTGAAGGAGAAAAGTAGCCTTCCTTCTCCTTCTCCACCCCGTTACATTGTGCAGACTAAGGATAAAAGAAGCAGCCACTGCTGGTAGCATTTTGGGACCCCACAGTCACTCAAGACTCTTGTCCCACCATGAGATTGCCTGTCACTAAGCCCAGGCTTCCCGATTCCCCAAGCAGAGACCTAGACCCTGAAGCACATTCTTGCAAAAACAGTCCAACTAATAACATTCGGGGAGTGAGATGTTGGCAATATAAATATGCAACGACTTTCTGCAAAGTGGATCTAGAGGTAAAAAAGATAATAGATGATTTTAATAAATGAACATTAAGCCACTGTTTTTGTGGCTTACTATTTATCACCTGTGACATTGTGGAGCGTAGCACTGTCGAGAGGGTTTGTATAATTACAGCAGGAGAACCATTCCTTTCCCCATAAATTTTCACTCTACTCATTTAGCCACGGCAGGGGCGACACTGGCAAATTGCTTGGTTTGCCAAAGAAGAGAGCTGTGAGTGTTTTCTTCGAAGGTTCACCTGCTGCCATTCTCACCAGTGTTAACATTCCTATCAAATTTCACTCCCCTGCCCCCTTGACATAACTGGTTCAGCAACAAGAGGCCAGAAAGTCACTTTTTCTGATTTCAGATTCCTGACAAAAGCAGCAGGACCTAATCACAACAGAGGGAAATAAACACTTCGGTGCAGATACACAAAGGTGGAACAAACTGCTTTTAGGTAGTGCTGAATGCAACTGGATAATACCTTTGTGCTGAGTTTTAATCTTTTAATATTTCCTACAGAAAAGATAAAAACCTATCAGTGGCTAAAGAGAAGTGAGCCATGGCTAGTCTTTTACACTACCAGCAGTAACAGTCCAAGCCTTAGTATGGCCCATCACCTGTAGGCTGTAAGGCATTCCTTTAAATTCAGCTGGAATTGACAGCATCCCCAGTGCAGTAGGACTCACAATGTAGGATGGAAACAAGTGGAACTACTTGTACGATTAGAAGACCCTGAGGTGACCACTGGCATTTTCAAACTTGTCCAAGTCCTGAATATCCAGTTATGTACATGGACTCTCAGAGCCTTGGTATTGCTACAACAAACCCTCTCTGCAACTTCAGATGTCCAAAGCTTGTAGAAGTGTGACCAATGTAGGTCCACTTGTTTGTTTACCTGGTAAGGGAGTGTCATCACTCAGGAAATTCATCTTTCATTGTTTATCTAGATTCAATGGCCCTGATAACTTTACCTTTGGTTTTAGGAGGAAGTAGGGAAAAAAAATATTTTTGCTTAACCTCTGAAGCTCAAAAATTTCAGTGAGACCTTTTATTTGAATATAAAGAACAGCAGACTCACTAGAAAGAAGAGCACGAGAAAACTCTTGTAACAAATACCTCTTTGTGCCATTGACATGTGAAGCAGTTATTAC